GAGTCCCTACAGCTGCACAGAGCCCAAGCCAGTGGAGTCCCAGCTGGTGGCCTTTTCACCAGGTGCAGGCCCTTGGTGTCACCCGGCTGGCTCTGGGTAGCAGGAGGTGGTGTGTGCAGTGGAAAGTACCACACCGTGGGGTGAACCCTCGAAAATCCTAGCAGGAGAGAATCTGGGCTTGGAGAGATTGATGCTTGTCCAAGCTTCAGATGATGCCCACACCGGGATTGAAACTGGGGCTTTCTGACAACAACTCTTTGCTCTGTGTACCATCCCAGCCGGACAGGATATCCACTGTGCTCCTAAGCTGACAGCCCGTGGTACCATGAAGGAAGCATGTCTAATTAGGAGCTCCTGGTGAGATAATTACAAGAATTGGATCTTGCAGCTGTCAAACTTGAAAACTATAGGGAGGAGACATCACAGAAAACTGGGAGGGCAGTGGCAACCTCTTGAAGACAAGGGAAGGCTCTCTGTGGAGGTTAGAGGAGAAGGTCTCACATTCAACTGTAGACCACCAGGACATGATCACTGCATATGTGGAAAAGTCACAGTAAGCCCTGTTAATTGGTACAAATCATCACATGTTATTAATTAGAATAAAAATATAGGGTACCAGCAAGAGAAGAAAGGGGCACAAGAGGTGGGATGGCATGGCTGGACTCCTAGTTGCGAGTCATCAGTTATCAGTTAGAAAACACTTAGGGAGCAGCCACAAGTGCAAATATACCTACTGTGTGCAAGAAAGGAAAAGAAACAAAACAAATTTCCTGAGTACCAGCATGTGCTCTCTAATTATGCTCTGGCATCAGGGAGGGAACCTGGGCATGGGGAGCCTGATTCCAGAAAGTCTAGCTGGTCACACCCACACTAGAATTCCAGCAGGGTGTGATGCTTCCATTTCCCCACTGTGGACCTGTCATTCCATCCAGAGTTGACCTAGGAAGGGCTGTAAGTGTTTTCTTCTCTCCAGAAGCCTCTCTCTTCTCCCAGAGAAAGGTGATCAGAACCTGGAAGCTCCCTGGCTGCCATCTTCCTCCAGTCTGCACCTTAGGACTGGTCCTGGCCTTACACAAGACTAATCTCTTCTGCACACTGTAGATACACAGTAGGGCCTCTATAAGTACTTGCTGAGTTGAACATTAGGTGTAAAACAGTCTATAATGTCTTCTAAAACTGTCACTTTAGGACATAGATATTTTACTTCCATAAGGGTGGACCTTGTATTATTAGCATACCTCGGTAGGAATCTAAATTTTCCTCTAAGCTGCTTGACTTTAGGCAAGTTACTAGACCTACAATGGCAGTCCCCTGCACTGGTACGTGCTTATCTAGAGCACAGTACAAGTCTGCAGGGAAAGGGATTATTATCACTGTTGTTAAGATGAGCAGATTAAGGCTCAAGGAAGTTATGCAAACTTGCCCAAGGTCACACAGCTAATAAGTTACAGAGCTCAGCCTCAAACTGAAATTCACCTGACCTCCTAGTAAGTAGCACAGGCAAAGATTGAGGATAAGGCAATTCCACGGTCATCTAGACTGTTTGACTAGAAGAGAAGGTATCCGTAAAAGGATATAGATAATGCAAGAAAAGCAACCTGGGGCCAAGGGGAGAAGTTCTCCAATGTGAGCCCAAGGAACTTGGAGTTCTTCCCATAAAAACTGGAATGTCACTTCTTGGGGTCAGCACAGGGAGGGAAGTGGGTGAAAGGAATGGGAGGGCTCCAGATTACAACAGGGTGCTTGTCACTGTTAGCTAAAAGCTCAGCAGGATCCAATCCACAGGAACAGTGATGATTAAGAGAGGGCTGGGGATGGGCCTGTCTTTTCCCTGTGGGTTAGAGAATTGCCCACCCTCCAGTTTTGGTGCACTGCTGCTGTGTGTCTTGGATTTTCAACTTAAGTTCCAGGGTCTAGATGCTGTGCAAGCAGCAGTCAGCTTCTGCTGGGAGAGAAATATCACCCAGAAGTCTCTCCTCAATCCAGATCCTGGACAGAATATACTGATGCTGGCACCCAGAGGTCAAGGCCCGGTTTTGTTTTCACAGAGGATGGAGAGAAAGGTCAGGTCCAGGAAAGGGTAAAATAAGCCTGAGCATGTTTGTTGTCTCATTCCCCATCGTTTCTTGGTATAAAAGACCCTGACACGCTGTACATGGTGAGATGGGGTTTGGGCGATCAGGCCCCTCCACCTTCTTGGAGCTAGCTTCGATTATTTTTGTTTTCTTTGTATCAAAAAATAGAAAAAAAAAGAAAAACAAAATACCACACATGAGAATAGTAAGGAAGCTACCACTTCCTCCTCCAAGAGATGCGCTGAGCTACAGAAACTGTGGGGCCGGATCCTCCCATCCCAAGAGGCCGTGTCTTGGGATTCAGATGAGCTCCTGCCAGCAGTGTGATGTTATCATACCTTGCACAATCACCACAACTCTCAGAATTTCACCTTCTTTTTGCAAAATGGGGAAAATACAGAGACAACTGCTTGAGGTTTTTCTGATGTATTGTGTGAGCATGAGTTTGTGCAAGGTGCAACATCACTTTTCAAGTACGCTGGTGACGTCCTGATAAACTTCCTCTCATTCCCACCCTAAAGTAGACTCCATTCAGCCTAGCAATTATGTAATCCCAGAACTCTTGGAGACAGAGGGAGAAATGCAAGTCTGTGCCAAGCCTGGGTAATTCAGAGACTTAGCAAGACCCTGTCTCAAAATGAAAAATTAAAAAGGACTGAGGATGTAGCTCAGTGTGAAGGCCCTAGGTTCAATACCCAGTTCTAAGAAAAATTCAGTAATTTCTTTGAGAAATGGAAAGGGCGCCAAAGTAGGCACTTGTCATTCAGAAGTGAATTAGACTTGATCTTAGCCAAAAGGCCGAGAAACGATTCAGAAGTGAATTAGAAACAGTCCTACCCTTAAAGCTATTTAATAGAGGAATTTCAGACGTGATTGATGTGGTGAGGCAACTCAAATTCCTCCTCACTGTTCCTCCCTGAAGCAGCAAAGCTGCGCGGACACTTCCTACAAGCAAAGCCTTGGCTTCTTTCCTTACCTTTGTTATTTTATTAATCTTTAGGGCAATCCAGCCTCAGAGGAATGTACCCCAGGCCACATAGCTACTAAGCGATACAGTCAGAGTTCTAACCAGGGCCCCTAAACTTGAAAGCCCCATCCTCCCAGCTGGCCTTCTCATTACTCAAATCCCCATCCTCTCCTGCTACCTTACCACTCCCCATTCATGTAGTAGCTGCCCCAAGCCCGGTCCTTGTAATTCTCAGAGAGGTGACTTAAAAAGCCAGTGCTGTTGGTCTTGATACTGTCTAACCCATCCTTCCCCATGGTCACCAGATACATCTTCTGCAATGTAGATATTTTCCTATCACAAGATAAAGCCGAAGTCCCTTGATTGGTCACAGAGACTCCTTTCTGATCTTACGTTTGCAACTCTCTCCTCAATGCCTTCCTGGGTTTCCTAGACAAGAAAATAGGGCTGCAAATAGAAACTTCCTTGGCGCTCTAGGCTGGAAATACATTCTTTCCTTCATAGGTGGAAGAAACCCCTACTCATGCCTCCAAATCAGGGGTCTCTTCTTACAGGAAGAACTCTCCTCAGAGCAGGCAGGTGCTCAGTTAACTAAGCCATGCCTAGCAGCATCTAATGCAATTGTTATGTACAGTAAGAGGAAGAAGACCTGGGGAATAACAACACCAGGGTTGTCCTCCACATGACACGGGGCAAATAGGGGGAACATTTAACTCTCTGACATTGGTAATGGTCTTGTAGAATACTTTGCCAATTGGGGGTATCTGGGCTGGCAGTTGAGGGAACGTTTAAATGCAAGGAGGATATTTTGCCCTGGATTCCCAGCTGTTACCCAGGAGAATGTCAATATTGACGCCCTCTGGAGTAGGAAGAAAAGTCCTCTAAATAAACCAGGGATGAAGGTGTCTTTTGTCCCTCCAGATTGGGCTGCTGGCTGGGAGCTAGTGTGGCAGCGTGCCAGGTGTCCTTCAGCACGTTGACATTTTCAGTGATCCAGAGCTAGTAGCAAATGTGGGTGAAAGTGATATTTACTAAGATTCCTTCTGTTTAGAAACATCAAGTTCTAGGGGACCATGAGCTATAGATGTTATCACTTTACTGACCAGGGAAATCTTTTGTTGTTGTTAGAAAACAAACACCAACCCTCTGACTTTGCCTGGAGCAGCCCTGGGAATCTCAAAAAATGGCATCAGTTGGGTGTTTCTCTCTGGGCTCCAGAAGTAGGTTCTATGAGCTCTGCTTCTGCTAGCCAGTGGTGAGCCAGCAGCAAGGAGGATGAAGAAGGAGTCCTCTTGTCATCACAGTCTGTCTTCCATGAGCCTCAGGATGATCGCTGAGAACCATCTTCTCCTTGGTCCTCCTTCTAGACAGTCCCAAGTATAATGGGTGTCCTCAGTCTCAGGAAGGTAGTTCTCAACTTCTGCAATTTATACTTTAGTCTTTTTCACTTTAAAAATTTCCACTCTGTATCTCCTATTACAACCCCTTCATCTGTGTCCAAACAAGCTTTTACTTCGGTGCTCTTTATGTATTTCAAATATGCACAGGCTGTAATTGTATCTTCTGTCCCAGTCAGATTTATTTTAGGTTTTGCTTTCTTTTGTTAGCATCAACCCCTTTATTCTCTCATTTTATTTACAGTGCTTCTGGCCTTTTTAGAATGTGGGCCTGGCAGTAGGGTTATTAATTCCTTGTCACTAAGGGTAGATTAGGCCATCTGTCAGAGATGCTTACCTGACAAGACAGTATTAACAAAAATATCTACCACTTAGGATGAGCCTGGTACTAGCCCAGCACTGGATACAATTCCTGACCCAAATTCATTATGGCATTTACTGTGGCGACGGCCCTGAAGGTTCGGTGTTGCTGTTATTCCTGACTTACAGTTGTGAGGCGGTGGCAAGGAGGTGCTGAATGCTGTGCTCAAGGTTGGTTAGTGAATGACGGAACTTGCTTACCTCTGACCCAGCATTCAGCGTTCTGCACAGTGTTTTGTCTTGAGCTTTTGTTAATGACTGTTCTTATTTCCCCTTCCTTAAAAAGAGCATAATAAACAAAAAATACAATTAGTACAAAAAAAAATAAGATCAGGGAATCAAAACACTGAATATTGTGTGATTTTTTTTTCTTTTTTTTATCCCTCCCTTAGGGTCTCCCAGTAGGGGTGAAATCCCATTTCCTTGGTTCAACCCATTCAAATTCATTTTTTTGGAGTTAAAATTTAATGAGTGTCCCCAACAACACACTGCAGTGGGGGCTGGGCCTGCAGCCACCTTGCAGGTTGCCCACGGTCTTACTTTGTTCCTCTCCATTTTCCTGGCGTGACTGTCCTTATAAACCAGCCTCATCTGGGGATAGTGTGCGTTTGTTAATTACCTTTGAGGAGCCAGCAGATGGTGCAGAGAGCACTGCATTGTCAGAGGACCTAAGCCAAAAAAAGAGGAGGGAGAGAGGGAGGCATCTGTTTATTTGTTTAATTCTTCATGAGAAAACAGTGAGTATAAAAACAGAATAGTCATCACTAGGCATTTCAGGATGAAGGATACATTCACCAGTGGTTGAAAATAAAATCTTATTTCAATTCACAGGGCTTGGAAAGTTAACAAAGTATCTGAAGCCCAGAATGGGCCATGTTGGGCTCAGTGAGGGGCCGATGGGTAATCTTGGGTAATGGCCACATTCACCTGTCAAATGGAAATGAAACTACCACATCATGGTTCTGAGCCCAAGAATGGAAACCACCCAGCAAAGCAAGTCTCACATAAAAGCCACCCCGCCTCCCACTTTCTTTTCCATGAGCCAAAGATCAGGTGAGTTTCAAATGAACACAAGATAATGACGCTCTTTCTGCAGGTTTGACTGAAGGCATTCCAGACTGTAAATCTGTACACCTGGCCTTAGAACCAGAGATGTTCCAGATAGCAGCGCCCTCAACACCACGCTAGTAGGAACCTTCTCATTTCAGAGACTAGCAGTCAGGGACCCAGGGCAGATGGCAACTTTATTCTAGTCACGGGGCTTATTAATGGCTGTCTTCATCAGTTTTATGCTGCTATAACAGAATACGCAAGGCCAGGTAATTTATAAAGAAACATTTACTTCTTTCCATGGTTCTGGGGACTGGGAAATCTAAGAGCACTGCATCAACATCTGGTGAGAGCCTTTGTTCAGTGTCCTGTTGTGTCAGCACACGCGAGCATACAGAGGAGATGCAAGACATGTACTCATGGGATGATGGTATCGCTCCACCCTCAGGACCCCCACACCTCTCTGGACACCCTGCCTTGCACTAATGTACACTGTGGACTAAGTTTTCAGTACCTGAACTTTGAGGGACACACTCGAACCACAGCAGTGGAAGAACTGGAATGAGAAGTGAGGTTTCCCCCGTCTCTCACCTTGTTGTGCCCACTCTACCAGGTGGGCAGAAAAGGGTTGCAGCCAGGGTCAGTCTGAGGAAGTGGCAGAGGGCTTCAATGAGCGAAGTCTCAGAAAAACTTCCTTTTGTGGGAGAGAACTGAGTGATCATATGCTTGGAGGTGGCAGCCACAAGACTTGAGAAGCAAAAACAGATTTTTGAGGGTGAAGAATACCAGCTAGGGGGAGATGGCCCAGAGATTATTTGGGGCTTGACTGTGGAGGGGTTTAGTATGACACCACAGATTTATGAGTCTTTTTGCTCAAGGTCACCTTTCTTGACACAGTTAGTCACTGCCTTCTAAGAAGCTCCATGACACTGCCTTCTCCCGTTGTCCTTCTAAGATAAGAAGGCAGTGGTTTGCTGTGTTGAGGAAAGCGAGGTCAGAAAAGTGATCAGTGTGTTTGGTCACTGGTGACCTTGAACAAAGAAGGTCCTGTGGAGCCACAGCTCTACCACTGTGACTGAGACACTTCCCATCTGTATCTGGGGTGACTTCCCTGGCCCTGGTCTTCTCCTCACCAATCTACTTTCCCACCTTAGTGATCAGACACCAAACTTTTGTTTCGCACTTACATCCGCTGCTGCCACATTTTCTTGATGACAAAGCCCCTCCCAGTGAGGCCCCACACATGAATCCTTTCTGTTCCACACCCTTACCACTACTTGGTATTTTCGGAGTTTTAAATTTCTTTGTCAGTTATCTGGATGTAATTTCACATCACACTAGGATTTTGATTTATGTTTCCCAGATTACTAATGAGGTTAAGCACTGTATTAGTGAGCTTTTCCGTTTGTGAGACATACTATCTGACAGTCACAATTTAAAGAAGGAAGGTTCACTTTATCTCATGGTTTCAGGAGATTCAGTACATGGTCAGCAGGAGCTAAGGGAGCAACATCATGGCAGAAAGGCATAGTGAGCAAGGCTGCTCGGTCCGTGGTAGGCAGGAAGTGGAGCAGGATAACAATATCAGAGACAAAGGGCCCAAGGCCACGTAGGCGTCCATGGACTACCCAAACACACCCAGAAGCACGTTCTACTAATCAGCTAGGTTTTGCTTAACCCAGTGAAGTTGCCATATCAGGATTAAGAGTCACAAGCATCATTTTATAGGTTTATTAATTGAATAATTTTTATTTGTAGTATGTCTTCTGCTTATTTTCTATTGGTTCATCATATCATTACTCAGTTATGAGTTCTTTATATATTTTGATAGTTTATGTTTTGATTCTATGTTATATATAATATACATTTCAGTTTATATTTTGTCTTAATTTTCTTTTAATCATTTTGCCTTAATTTCCTTTTTAATTGTTTTTAATTTTTAATTATTTTAATTTTTAATTATAATGTACTTAAACTTATCAGTGTCTTACAATTAGTGCTTGTATATATTTCAAACAAACCCTTACAGCAAGAGAGATATTTTCATTATATAACACAGAAATTTGAGAGTTCTTATTATGATACTTGGGTACCTAGTTCAACTGAAATTTATTCTTGGATTAGTGTGAGATAATGATCTAATTTCACCTCTTTTTCTTCAGAATATGATTAACAATTTTATGAGCACCCATTACTAGACAACTTTTTGCTTCTTCCTGATTTATTATTCCACCCTATTCATACACTAGGGGTGTGTGTGTGTGTGTGTGTTACTTTCTGGAGTTTCTGTCCTACCTAACTGGGTGAACACATTTTATTGTCTTGCCCAGCCAACCTTCCTTTCCATTCAAGCTGCTGACAGGTCCTTTCTTGTCTTTTTAGAGTCTGCCCCCTCCCTACCTGCAGAGTTTGAATGTGTCTATTGTCACTTGAACCCTATTTGGTGGTATAAAGAGGAGGGGCTGTTTGGGAAGTGATTAAGTCTGATGACTCCACCCTTGCGAAAGGATGCATCCCAGAACATCGGCTGGAGAAAACTACCTCACACCCTTTTCTACACTTCTGATTTCTGCTATGTGAAAATGCAACACTTGTTCCCTTTAGAGGATACAATACAGCGCTATTTTGGAAGCAAAGACTGGGCCTTTACTAGACACCAATACTGCTGGTACCTTGATCTTGGACTACCAGCTTCCACGATTGTGAGGAATACATTTGTGTTATTTGTAAATTCCCCAGTTTCAGATTTTTCATCATAGTAGCACAAACTGACTAAAACCCTACCTTCTGACCTCAGCATAGACATGGCCATGTGGCCTGGGCTCATCAATCAGCATTCTGGTAGACAAAAGAACTATGTAGTTGAAAAGCTGGTTCACTGAAACTGATTAACAAGGAAGCCAAGGCAAGAGAAAACACAGCTGAATGATGACGGAGATAATCACTTGGTGATAACGTTTGAACATCTGGATCCATCCATGCCTGAAGCCAGTATCCCTTTGAACTTTTCAGTGACACAAACCAGTGAAAGCCTTTCTTTGTTAAGCAAGTTTGAGGAAGGATTTTATCTGTTGCTGTTGACAAATACAGATGAACAAGACATACCTACCTGCAGGTGCATCAGAGGAATACTCATGGGCAGAATCAATATTTTCTTCAGATAGTCTATCTTCTTCTCTTATCCAAAGTCATATGATTGCCATGACTCATGAGCAGAAATCTGCTGGCCTACAGGAGAAGGACTGTGTCCTCTCACAGTTCTGGAGGCTGGGAAGCACAAAGCAAGGTGTGAATGGGGATGTGCTCCCTACTGAGGACCTGGAGGAGACTCTTTTCCCGACTTCTTTCAGTTCTTGGTGGCTGCTGGCAGCACTTGACCTGCATTCTCATCACTCCTGACTCTACCTCCAGCTTCACATCGCCTTCTCTGAATCTCTTTTATTTGGACACTTGTCATTGGCTTTGGGAACTATTTGGATAACTTAGGATGATTTAATTTTAATATTTTAATTTCAATTACACTTGTAAAGATCTTTCATCTAAATAAGACAACATGGACAAATTCCAGGGATTACAATGTGGACTTATCCTTTGGGGGACCACCATTTCCCCTATGACAGTTTTAATCTTCAGTTAACTGAAGCTCAGAGAGGTTAAGAACATTTCCAAGGTCACATAGCTAGTGCAGTAATTGGTGAAACCAATATTCTAACCTCTAGCCCATGGCCTCACCCTAAGGTCTGAACCACCATGTTAAACAGCAACTGAAGACTGCAAACCAATGGAGGAAATTTGAGGACTATTGGACAGCGTTGAGCAGAATGAGGGAGTACTAGATTGTAGGATGTGTTAATGGAACTGTGAGCTTGTCAGCTTTTTAAATTCTTATTTTTTTAAATGCTAAAGTGTTTATGAATAAAAGTATGTGACATTTTGGATTTGCTATAAAGTACTACAACAATAAGACAGAAAACTGTAAGAAATATAAGGGAGAGAAATGACACACAGTTGGGAGAATGCTGATACTATTGATGTTTGGATACACAGACAATCATTATATTGTTCTTTGACATTTATGTACGTTTTAAAAATGTAATATGAAAAGGATGTAAGCGCCAGGCACGAGGGTGTACACGTGTACTCTAAGAGGCTGAGGCAGGAGGATTGCAAGTTTGGGCACAGGTTGGGCAAGTTAGAGATCCTTCCCCAAAATAAAAAAATAAAATAAAATAAAATAAAATAAAAGTAAAAAGAGTGGAGGATGTTGCTCAGTGTGAAGGCCCTAGTTGCAATTTGGAGTAGGCCCCTGCCCACACACATTTTTTGAACATCACAGTCTTCAAGAGGCCTCCAGCTGACCAGTCTATAGTGTGTCTTTAGCCACTCACCAAAACAACATCCTCTTTTAATTCTCCTAGTACATATCCTACCTGATGTTTTATTGGTTTTCTACTAGTTTGGATTTGCATGTGTGTGTGTGTGTGTGTGTGTGGGTGTGTGTATTTGATTATATCTCCTCCTTACACCTTTTTTTCCAGAGTTAAAGCTCTGGCTTCCTATAAATAGAAATTTCACACTGTGGGCTGAGGACAATTTTTTTCTTCCATTTCCTGATATATCTCTAAGTGCTCGCCAAAACAAGTGGCTGCTAGCACATGGCAAGTATTCAATAATTGATCAATTCAGTCAATCCAGACTGTAAACTCCAAGAAACCATGCCTCTGCATTCATGTGGTCCTTTTGCATGACCTAGGCTGGGACTGCACATGCAGGAGCTGTTGAAGGAACACTCGTGTGCTCCAGACCACACTGCATTGCAGCCTTGCCCAAGTCCTGAGCTTACTCTTGTGTGGGAAAGCAGTGGAAAGACTGTGAGGAAGACCTTGGTGACTAGGGCCATGTTTTAAAAATACCTTAGGACCTCCTCAGATACTCCTTCATTACTTTTCTTATGCTTTTAACTGCTGTTAAAAATGCACACACATAAAAGCATTACAGACTAAATTTTCACTCTACTGAGGTCACCAGTGAGTTACTTTGCATTACCAGGTTGTGTCACTGTATCAAGCTTTCTAATGAAGCTTTCCTTTTGTTATGTGTCTTTGCATTTTAGAAAGTCTCTTGTGTTTTGTTTGTTTCTCCTTTTTCAATAGATTGCATCCCATTCTCACACATAAATTTGCATACAAAACAATTCTTACATGATCCACCTAAGTATGCATTATATACCAGATATGAAACATTGAAATGTAACACATAGTGTCCTGACAATACTTCTTAGCCCACTATATATGTTAAGGGACAATGAACTGATTTGGACACTTAAGTTTATGATAAGGAATTGGGTTCATAGTAAATATTAATAGCAATTCAGCTTTGTAACATTTGGACTCGTTTTGCTGAATATCTAGTACATGAAAACTCCAAGGTGAGCTATTTAGGAACTGTGAATCCTTTGTAACTATTTTTCAGCATGGAAAAAGAATCCATTCAATACTTTGCAATGAAAATGAAAGGAAAAAATGAATTAAATGCTGAAGATTACAGAAACCTGTGGTTGTTATATGTGTCCTCAAGTTTAATTTTTGGTGTTAATCAGAAATGACTCATCAGTTGTAACCATTATCTTTAAATATCTGGCACAAGTTTAAACAAGTAGATTGAGTTTATAGTAGCATATCACCTTCATAGTTTGTATATTTGTGCTCTGTGGAAGATTTCATTTGTGAGTAATATTTCATAGCTAAACAAAACAAACGCAAGACAGAAAGTACTAGGCTAGGAGAGAAATACAGAGTTTAAAGGTAAATGGTCTTGGGTTCAAATTTAAACTATGCCCAGAATAGTGTCTGTGTCCTGAAGCGGGTATTTCCCAAAGGTTTGCTAAAGGTGGCTTGTCAATGATGACTGTCTTTGCCAAATCTGCTACATGGATGTGTCACCTTAGGACCTCCAGATGCTTCTGTTTAACCTTTTGTTTCAGAAAACTTGTGAGAGGAAGATGCCACCCTGTATCTCAGTAATGTAGTTATGCTAGAAGCCCAAGGGGGATCAAAGGAACAAGGAACATACATGAAAAAGCAGTGGGTAATCAAACCAGCCCGGCTCTGAGTCCAAGTGGGCAGCCCATCTCCTTGAAGGGTTTTGTTTCTCCAAAAGAGGCTGCTCAGACAATACAGGCCTTATGCTAAGTCAACTGACCAGACCTCACCTCCTGCCACCCACCCCGCCCCCAGCTCTGGGAGCTGCCCATAATCTTCTACCAGAACAGAATAACAAAGGCCAGTCTATTCTCCTCTGCGCTGGAGATGCCATCAGGGGAAACAGAGCATGTTTTCTTCAAAGTCCAAACTATTCAGTTTTCAGCCAGAAGGCCAAACTTGTTGAACTGGGAGGGAATGGTCTCAGCTAGGGGGTGAAGGGTGTCTCCAGGTTTTCTACTTTTGGAAAGAGCTTGAGCTCCTGTGAGCTGGTGGGGGTGGCGCCCCAGCAGGAGGAAGAGTGGAAGGTTGCCAGGATGGGCTGGCTCTCCTCCTGCACATTCTTGGCAACAAGAGAGAGCCTTGGGATGAGGGAATCGCAAGAAGCTGCAGGCAGGGAAGTTTTTTTTCTCTGCCTATGTGTTTGTGAAATGTGGACAGCAGTCACATGCTTTATTAGATTTTAAGCCAGAAAGTTGATCTGCTCCCAAAACAAAGCTGAAAAACAAAACCAAAATATCTGAAATAGGTCAACAGAAAAGAGTCTCCCGGGCACTAGCAATCGCATTTCCTCCTCACATTTCCCTCATAGACGTGGAGTCTCTCTTGCCGCTGTGCTGGGTTGGCTTTCTGCTCAGCCTCTCTGAGCCTAGCATCTCTCTCTGTTGCCTGCTTCGTGCATGGCCGGCAATGTGACATCCCAGGTAGCATTCTGATGGTGCCATTTTATGTCCTTAACTTTCTGTCTCTCTCTACTGCTTGCACAATATGCACAGACTCTAGAGCTGGCATTCAAAATCTTCCACAACCTGTCCAGGAGCTGCCTCTTTAATCTTAATTTTCATGTAACTTCCACCAGCTCAGTGCCAACTGACATTGTCTTGGCTTTCTGTTCATGTACCCTGCTCTGCACACCAGCAGCTCTCCTTCCACTGTGCACTCTTCTCCTGACAGCTGCTCGCTGCTCCCTTCTTTTCACTTCCAAATTTTATCTATTCTACAGCGTCCATGTTGGGTGTTACACCTTCCCCAAAGGCTTCTCAGGGAACATTCACTAAGAAAACCAACTTTACTCTAGACTTTCATTTTCATCTATTAGCGCTGTGATTTGGGGTTGGATATGTAACACCTCCAAGCCTCAGTCCTATCAGCTGTAAAATAAAGAAAACTCACAGGGTGCTGTACAACTTAACAGGAAATCTTAAGGCATTCCTAGCATAGTAGTTAGTGTATAGGCAGGGCTTAAAAGTCTCTTTATTGATTTATTGTGGTACTTGACAAATTCTACCTTATTTTATTGTGGCAAGAAATATATTCCTATTGCTTTATTCTGCCTTTGGAAGAATTTCAGCAAGACAGTGGTAGGCCTATGAAAGAATTCACATGATCAACAGGCAGTTTCAGGCTCCCATGTTTATCACCATGTGCCACTCTGTGCTACTTCCCATATGGGATCCTGGTGCTAAGTCTAATTTACCATGGATGCTCTAACAAACAACTACATTCTACCTGCTTCCCAAAGGAGCTGTAAAGCCACCATTTACAATAATGCTGAAGTCTTGTTTTCTTCTCAGATTTCTTTCCAGAACATATCATTGCACATTTATTGAGCTCTTCAGAATTTTGAAACTTTGAGTCTCATTTGGTTATCACAACAACCCTGGGAGTTAGGGATGCTTAGTGCCATTGCGTAGAGGAGGGAAGAGAGACTGTGAGGAAATAAGACTGCAGGCTAAGCTCTCTGCCAGTGTAGAGAAAATGTAAGTAAAGTGGGTTCACAGTGGATACTCAGGACAAAGTTGTAAAAGGAGTGAGTGAGAGACGTGAGCTGTCTTATCTCTGGGCTGAGAGATATAATTCATCAAGAGCTGGAAGAGAGTAATATTTATCTAACAAGTCCTTCAGATTTTTGAGAGGGCCTCTATTTGCCGGGACCATTTCAGTTTCGATGGAGTTACTATGCAAATTTGCTGCAGGCAAAGTAAGATTTACTGGCTCCTCTAAATGGGAGCTGGGGGTCTCTGTGTTGCTTTCTGAGTGTTAATTCACTGTTTAGTTAAAGCTATC